CTTTTTCCCAGAGCTCTGGTGGGAACAGCGTCTGCAAAGTTTCTGATTTTGTGTGTGATTTCCAAAAAATCCTTCATCAAATATATTTACTTTTAAATTGAGAACAAATCTTTTTAATCGTGTTCCACTGGAAGAACTACCACTTAGGCGACGGAGGAGGAGACGAAAATCCTGAAGATTTTGCTGTTTGTGTACTGCAAACAAAGACGTTTTCTCGGACGGAGATGGTGTCGCTCTTTTAGTGCTGCTGGAGAGCTGCCAGTGGAGAAAGTTGGATTGCATCAACGAGGAGAGAATGGCAGAAGAACAAGAGGAGCTGTAATGTGACATTGCGTAATGTAGTGAGAGAATCAAGAAAGTAGGAGAGACAAGTAGGCATGCTTCGTTTGCTTGAAATGGGCTCGAATGGAAAAATTCGTCGGATATCTAACGCGAAATAAGATGAGCGGGCGGACGTGTATGGAAAATCCAAAAGTGGCGAAAACCCCGGCTTGACTTAACTGCGAAGCAATAGTTTACACTTTGCCAACCCAACTTTTGCTAAGGGAGGATATCTCGCTTCTGCTAACGGAGGGCCAGCGAGATATGCAGAGGAGGAGGGAAAGTTAGAGCCCTTCAGTTGATTCACACATGCATAGAGAACCCAAAGAGCTGAAATTTAGTCGACTGCTGGCTGGCTGGCTGGATGAAGAAGGACAGAAGAGAGAGGAGTAATTTTAGTCGAGTCTGGAGGGAAGAGCGATTAAATCTTTAGGTGAAACATAGAGAGTTGGCAGTATTGGCTCGCACCACTCGTAGTAATATAATGTGGACCAGGGAACATTTAGAATACAGAAGTATGCACTTGAAAGTTTTTGCGTAAATCAAATTCACGTTGTGGAGTTGAAGAGGATATTATACATGCATTCAGTAGTTGATAGAATCAAGGATGTTATGCATCCTCTTCCTTTCTCTAATTAATGGGGGTCTGACCTTAGTTGGCGATAAAATAAAGTTCTGAAGCTCCAAGGACTTGAATTTTAATCCGGGATAAATAATGAACTTTCTCTTCTTGTTGACTTTGTTGGAATCGGACTAAAATGCGTCAGAGATATAGAAAAGCAAAGAAAAAGGGTAATTGGAGACAGTGCACATTTCGACAAGGCCCAAGGCTTATGGTCTAGCTATCAATTTCTCTATTCCATTTTATTGTGCTATTCAGAATCCTACTTTTCTAAGGAAGACATATGTATCAACTTTCACTCTTCACTTTACCCGTAATAATGCATCGATCCGAGTGTAATCTTCCTCAACAAGGCGAAAGGCAAAGAAAGGAGAATGATTGATCTGCCGAAAATTGAACTTTATCTCATTTCACGAAATGGATTGCGTTAGATTAAGAACAACTCGATGTAGTCATTCACGAGTTAGTTTCACCAAAACCTAAACCACCACCACCACCACCACGACGGCGTATGTACTGCGGCTCGTAATAAATTCGTGTGATGTTTGTGTTTGCACACTTTATAGCCTTCTTCCTCGGCCTGATGATGCCCTGAACGTGTTCACCATGTTGCAAGCTAAGCTGCGTAATCTGAGCCTAATAAGGGATCCCATCAGGTCGGTGGTGGTGGTGTAAAGTAATATCAAGACAGCAATAGCCCTCCATTATTCGAGTCATCTTTCCTCCTCCGCTTCCATGTGGTCAAGTCAAGTAGCGAGGAAAGCTGTCTTGTTATCTCGCTGAATGGGTCCTTCTTGGCTCGATTCGTGAGAATAATAGGGTTTGAAAGAGTTCTTAAATCGTGCGGTGAGGCGCTAATGGTGTGGGACGGCGAAAGGTGATACCCATCCATCCACCCCACCGACCACACGCTCACTTCCCCTTTGACCCTTTTCAACAACTGATGCAGATCTCCTTTCTCCACCTCCTCCGAATTTATCCAAGCTCCCGAGATCTCTGTTAATTAACAATGACGGAATGGTGTCGGCTCCGATGGAGGAAGAAGAAGAAATTATCAATTAAAGCAAAGATTAAAGTTGCACATCATGCATGCAAATTTCTATCGACTCTGAACGGGGGAGCAATTTTTCTGCAGGCTACAGTCTTGTGACGAAGGAAGGGAAGAAAGCTGCCTAAATCACACCTACTTCTCTTCTCTTTCTTCTTCTTCTTCTCTCTAACTAACCGCTTAAATCGATATATATTCTGCTAGGTACGTGAGTGTGTAACAAGATAATGGTCTCCTTCAAGCTCACATCCTTCCTCCACCGATCCGTCCACTTTATTGCATTTTATGTGTGAAAAAGTTCAGGGTGGTCAGACGAAGGAGGACCTGGCCTTGGTGAGTAGTTAGTTGGTTGATAGTAAATAACAGGCGTCATGATCAACCTTCATCATCACACAATCCTAAATTATAGAACAAGGTTACACATCCCTCAACTTTATACGACTGGTCGTTGAATTGATTCATTTATGAGTCGAGAGTGCATGTAGTAAGTACTGCCAGCCATAAACCTTAGGCAACCTCCTGTGCTTCAAAGTTGGGGAAAGTTTAGCTCCGTAATTTGAGAGGGTTGTTGTCTAGGTATGTATGGAGCTAGTTGGTCGTGGTGTGAAGTCGTGTTGTAGCTTAAGGATTAGTTAGCAAATGGATGATAATGTTGGTTGTGGTGGTTTTCGTGAACTAGGTTTTGGCTGCATTAAGTATACATGCACAGTTGGGTGAGTCGGTTTCCTGGTGGGGCAGTCGGAGGAATAAAATCTTGAACACGTAGAACAAACGTGCACAATACGCAAGAAAGAGGAAGACAGAGTTGTCTCTAATCCGACACTAACACAACCAAAGAGAAAGCGACCACACAAACCGAAACAAGGTGAACTGGCTGTCTGTCTGCTGCCTTGTACCCACCGCCCAAGTGGAGATGGAAAGTTGGTTGGACCAACCACCACTACACGGTACCGCTGCCACGGTAAGAGAACCAGAAAGTGGGAGAGGTGAGCTGAACAAGGAAACGAGGATAAAACAAGTGGGAATCTGAACTGCCACAAAGAGTGAAAGCATATTCAGCTTATGTATATATGTTCACCCAGGTTTATTGTAGTCTGTTCCTGTGTACAAGATCAAGTGGGTGGATTTTGTTCCAATTACATGTGGGCGGTCTTAACAACCCACTCAAGGTTCTTCTTCTCCTCGCGAGTAAATACAAAGTTACTAATCTTACAGATTTATCTATTTCTTTGACCACGCGTTGTGGATGTGGAGATTATTTTAAAAATTGTAACATTGGATTTAATCCTGGAAAACGAACTGTGGAGGCCAGAACTGATCCCTTTAGTTTACCAAGCAAAACCACAAAAGGATGCACATCTGACTTGGCCTTTGGAGGAAGACTTGTAGCAGTTGCACACAAGTACGTACGTACGTATGTACATTGTAGGTTCCGTTCAGAGTGAAAGTTTGAGAAGGAGATTCCCACGAGATTACTTCCCTGTGCATATACACCTGCTAGCTTTCTCCAAACTCAAAGCGATTCCGTGGGGATTTGTTCTACAGAATGGAGTGGTTACTCGCTAGACCTCACACAAACAAAACCAATTCATTGTTGTTGTGAAGAGCACGAAATGAAAATACAAACATTTTTCTCTAAAACAAATATTTAAAAACACGATTCTGCCACTTGTTTCAGCACTTGTCATGGTTTGACCCCTCACTTCGAACCTTGGACCACATTCTGCTCTTCTAATGGATCCACTTAATTTGAGAGCGACCGAGTTGATGTGATTACTGGTGCTGGTCTCATAATAATAATGACATTGGTTCAACCACTCCAGCCTCCCAGATTCAATTTTGTGAAGTTAGATTATTTTGAAATTTGTACCTCCTACTTCGTCTCCCACCTACGTATCTATGTACGTACATGCACACACTTACGTACGTACAGAATTGTTCCCTCTTGTCATGTCACGTAAGGGAACAATGGGGGACAGGAATAAATATATGGGAGGACAAAAGGGAACAAGACAGCGACCACGTATAGCTCCTAAACGGACTATTGTTACGTCGCATGTTAGTGGAAGCAGATGGGAGCCAACCCAAATCCTCACAATTCATTACAACGTTCTCGAGGGAGGAGGAGAGAGAGTCAGTTTCTGCCATTGAAGCCGTTTCTGCAGCCAGCTTACTAAATTAACCTTCCTGTTTCAAATGAAAGCACTCGAGACGGATGGGGCTGCAGCCGAGATTGGATGGAATCCGATTCTCCTGCTCCTCTTCTTGTTGTACTTGTCGCAATTCAATTGAATGAAACGAAACTGATGGGATTGCTTTGTTGAATATTTAGACCTGAATCGTTCCCCTGTAGTTTACTCATTTTACTTCCGTGATCACGTTCGCTGAGCACTGGGACCCGCCGCGGCTCGCTTATGCACAAAAGCTGGAAACATGAAATGGGTTGTTGCATGAAAGTAACTTTTATGGTATGCAGCAAACGTCCAATTCATAATTCTCACAACGTATTTAAGAATTACATAATGATGATGATTATGATGGCGTACAATAAAAATTAAAAGGTCAGACGGTCATGTGCCACAGCTGGCTGGCTGGCACGTTATTGATGGTATTTGGAAGGAGGAGGATGACGACCAAGCTTTATTTCGCTGGGTGTAATGGGCCGCAACGAAACTACAGTCCGACCGACCAGGTGAAAGCATACAATAAAAGTCCGACTTTCAATATGGTCAACTATGCGACTTCTCGTTGTCACGTTACAAGTACACTAGTTCAAGTTAGCTGAATGGTCACCCACTTTAAGAGAAGGGAAATTTCAGCAGAGCGCTGTGTTTGCTTTTTTAAAGCCACAAGGAACGTAATTATATTGCCATCCAATAAATTTACTCTCAACTTAATTTCGCCTGGCATGAGAGTAACAATGTTTGTATAATAAAATTTCGCTACCACATTATCGTATTGATTTCCAAATTGAATTCCAAATTGATTTTTCTCCTTATTTTTCCGCAGTTGGCTGAAATAAATCGTCACTCTTGGGTCACCGCGGGGGGGAAGGGCGAGCTGGAGTTGGAGTTGCCGATGATGGACGTGGTTCAAACGCACGTGATACCCGCACCCGATGCTGTGGATCCAGACGTTCTCCAAGCAATCGCTAGTCTGGGGTGCTTCAAAGACAGGGATAAACTTATTCAAGAACTTTTGAGTCCAAAGTGAGTTTTTTTTCTCTTCTTTTCCTAGTTATGTTTGCTTTAAAAACGAAATGAAATAAAAATAGTTGGTGGTGTTTGGGAGACTGAGCATAAAAACGGCGGATGGGTCTGTCGATCTGTTGTCGGCACCGTTTTATATACGTTTCATATCATCCTTAAACAACGAGCATTCTTTAGATGCTAGGAAAAAGTCCGCGATGAAATTCCCGAAAAAAGTTCGATCACATCGAACTCGAATCCGTATTTTATCCATCGCTCCACTTGGCACAATATCCACTCGTCCTTAGTAACTTGGATTTACAGCCTTGTACATAATAATAATAATCCAGCCCATGCATGCATTCACCACCACCACCACCACCAACTTTCTCCAGCCAGACTTTAATTCCCAGAACTGTAGGCATGGGAAGACTGCAGGATGGCGTCATCATTATATATCGAGATATCCTTTCATATCTGGAAGGAAAACCCCTAAAACTTTCTCCTTTCCCAACCCCATGAATTTATTCCCAGCCTGTATTGGAAAGAACTGTCAATAGGCAGGCCTTTGTACAACTATAAATGTGGAGTAGGCAGAGTTTTTGTGTCAGTTTAGCGTTGGTAGCGGCAGGAGTGGATGGATGTTAATATTAATAATGGAGATGAAACAGTTCATTTTTTTCTTGATAGACTCCCCACTCCTTAACACGTAAGTACGTAGTCACGCCTCTTCCCACCTTGGCATTTTAGTTGAAAATTCTCAGGGAAAAAACCTGGATGAGTGAAATATTCTTGTGGGTAGCTGCTACTCGGTCTATTATGGAATGATATCTATAGTAGTGGCTTATCTGAGACCCATTCAGGTTGGTGAAGTAAGTTGGTGGGTTTTCGGTGAAGAAAGAAGAGAAAGCTGCTGCTGCTGCTACTGGGAAAAATGCCCAGGGGGACTTTTGCACTCGCTCCAACTCAGTGAACATTACTGCTCCGGACTCAAGTCAAGTACCAAAATAAACGCAGAATAACAAATAACAATCTTGTCTTGTCATACTCAAGAAGCAATGCTTTTGAAATAGGTTACGTATGGGTGCATGCAGTTGGAGCATATGGTCCTCTGATAAATACATTGTAACCAAAGGCCACCGACGAACCAATCCATTTATGCATCAACACTGCTGCATGCCAATCCCACTACTGGCTGGCTACCTTGATATGCACTGGAACATAGCACGTAGATCTTCATAGTTTGCCCATTCTCATAAAAGTAAAAGTTGACAATGTGTCATGGAGGGAAAGTTCACTTCTCGGAAATTTTGCCAAGTGCTCCCAATCCGCTAGTTGTCTCGAGACTCTTGACTCTCACTTTTATGCATGCAACACTTTTTATGGGGTTGTAACTTAACTACGGGACCATTGCATGTTAATCCAAGTGGCTGCATGGTCGGGCCAGGTCCTTGTTTCCTAGACGGGAGAGATTTTTCTGCTTAATTGTTATGGACCTTGTGTATTATGTTTATGTTATGTTAGACCTCGTGGTTCCTGAGGGCATGCCAATTACAAAAGAACAATAAGGGTCACAGTTTCTCGTGTTTGATACGTTTTCGTCCTTTGCTCTCTCTCTCTATTTGTATTCTGCTGTCTTATGCAAAGACTAAACGTGTCACTTGTAGGTCATTAAAACTAAATGGGAATAATCACACTGGGGAAAAGTAATACTTGTAACAGCTGGATTACTTCATTATGCAAAGCAGTCAGGGTGGGTGAAAGGTTGTGCAAAACTGGAGGAAGTGTCTACTTCTGGACACAATGACCCAGTTTCTTCTTTCCTCCCCTTCCTTTCTTTCTTGGAAGCCAGGACCAAGAAAGGCAAATTCGGAGAGAAGAGTGGAAATGTTGAATAATAAATTCAGTAATAAAGAAGAAAACGTATTATAAAACCTGACTCGCATTCTTAATAGAATTAGGAAAGTTTCTAACCGATTTCTTTTAACAATTGCAGCCACAATACGGAGAAAGTAATTTATTTCCTCTTATTGGACCGAAAGCGGAGAAAACCGTCGAGAGAAGATGATGGCGAATTTGGTAGCGGCTCGTCACGTCGAGACTCCATTTCTTCCGCCAATATTACATCCTCCATCACAACAAGTTCGAACTCAAACTCCACGTCGTCCGCCACCCCGGGAAGTATGGATCCTCCCAGAAAACGTATTGACAAAGTTAATGGGAACGCTTGTGCATATCAGTTTGATCGAATCAGTGAAGGTTAGCAATAAATTTTACGTATTACAGTAGTTCATATTTATAATCAAACGAATGTGACAACATTGAAGATTAACAGTATCTTCGGTAATATTTAACATTCTTAATAATTACGATATTTTTTTGGTTTGAAGGATCCCCCATCACCCCAAGGAGACATCTCTACAGGTACGCTTTTTTAGCCATTCCTCCACCTTCTCTGGCACACACAATCATCAAATTGAGGAGTAGTATTTGGAAAACGAGAAAATTTGCTTTCTCAATCACTCATGCCAACCAAACAGCTTCTTCACTTTCTCTCACAAATATCCCCCCCGAGACCAAGAAGCCAACCAGGCTACTTTCCCCACTCAACCAAAAACTATCTCATCCCTATTCGCATGTACGTACGTCTGTTTGCATGGGGCCTACTTAACTTGTCTCTAATACCACAGACAGACAAACGTGGTATAAATCCTCCCTACTGGCGTTTGTCAAAATATTTTCCAGGATTTCACCTCTCTTCCAAGAAACACACCTGAGTTGCACAAAAGAAAGATTATAATAGGGACACGACGAGAACAAGCCAACAAGAACAAATTTGTCTGAGGAATTATTATTATTATTATTTGAAAACTGGCTCCAGCTCTCTTCCATGTTGCACCTTTGAAATGGAAATAGCGAGCAGGGAGGATATTTTGGGGAATTATTCAGTTCTTTCTGGCAGGATTTCTTCAGGGAGGATAACACAATGCTAAAGGATAGAGAGAGATCAAAGGATATGCTTATTTTATTTCATAAGAGCTTTCTCTCTCCGTCTCGTCAGAATGGAACTAAAATTAGACGAGGATGGAAAGGAGGACAAAGTTAAAATATTCAATTAGGGAAAGGTTTCACCACACAGTCTGATAATGAACATGGTGTGCGATTTGATAAGAGAATGACTTTGCCAATTAGCCTTTTGAAGTTTTTATCCCTTTTTTTGTGGCGAAATTACGTTTCCATTTAACCAAATTCACTTTCTCTTTCTTTCTTTATTTCTAAGCCTTGCGTTGGGAAAGATTGGCAGACATGCTAAATCCTGCTAAACTTTCATCGTTTTTTTTTTCCTTCACGGCCAAATAAATATTTTGTCATGTTTAAATAAAAGTTAATCTTCTTATAAATGACTTTGTTGCTCTAACTGTCTCGTATTTCTTCCACAGTCGACATCGAAGACCAAGTTTGCACTTAACAAACCACACCTCGCTGGCCAGCTCTATCCCATCGTCACCCGTCCCTTCACCCAAAATGGCGCACAGGGACCGGCTGAGTGGGGGCAACCAATCCGTGAACAATGAGCATCTCCACCACCACCCACACCACCATCACCACCACCACCCTCACGACATCCCCCAGATCAGTGTCCATTCGTCCGGGATGGGACAAAATATTCCGAACGCGACACCCCCTGGTTCTCCACATCTCGCTCACTGGAGGTCTAGGCTCAATACTCTTAAAAACAGCTTCCTCGGCTCACCCAGGTTTCATCGGAGAAAACTTCAAGGTAACAGACTACCAGTGGTGTAATGAGGATGCCGGAGATGGTGTAATTTTTGGGCGAACAAGTCTTCTTGAGGACAAGAACAAGTCGAAGAAATGAGAAAAGACGCAGAGTGTCGTCGCACTACATACAAAGGGAGTTAGTGGGAGGAAATTGCTATTAATGGAATGTATGTGCGTAGGCGAGAAAGTGCCGTGTTTTCTCCTGTGTGAGTGCCATCCTGCCTGCCGCAGTAACCGCCCTATACGTATACATATACACGAATATATCCCTTGTCTCTCTGTGGCTGGTAGACAGACCACTTAGCATTACGGAATTGTCTCACCTTTGCCTCTCAGTGTTGGTCTCACTTTTTTTAACTTTCTCATTTTGGAAAATCCTATCAGTGTTGACTCCAATTCCTTCGTGTACAGGAGAAAAAAGTCGACATGATGGGCGTCATACCACTTTTTTCATTACTTGATTTGCTTGGATGATGCTGGTTTCGACGAGTGGATCGACCCCATATTTCTAAAAGAGGAGAAAAAGTTGAGATCACGACATTGCATCATGTCCAGTATTAGCAGTGGCAGGATTTCTCTGGAATTCGCACACGGACAGACAGCCAGAGAGACATATGTATTGTCAGTAGGAGAAAAAGGAAAGAATTTTGACAAGAGTAGAAATGGCTGTTATGTGGCGCAATCTCACCTTCTTATCATCATCCGCCGTCGTCGTCCTTTCCGTCGGTCGAACGTGATTCCGCCGCTCCTCACGAATCCAATCTAATCTAATCATTAAATTGCCTAATGGCATGGTGGCGTTAGTTATTAGAAATTTTTCCTCAAAAACTTTCTCAATTTTGGGAAGAAATATTTATTTCGAAAGGATGTGTGTTTGGTGACCTAAATGGGTTTGATGATGAGAATCCAGGTGATAAGTACTTGAGGTCGCTGAGGTTACTGCAATACGGGAAACAGTCCCCAGTGGACTAGTAGATTGAACAAAGTTTGCTGTCATCTCTTCGGAAACTTTGCAATTATTGATAATTGTCAACATATGTAGGCTATTCGTAATTTGGTCTAGATTAAATCCTTGTTCAAGGTTGAATCTAATTTTAGTTAAGGTTTGTTTGGTGGCTGCCCATTCCTTTTGATGATCATTATTCTCAATAATATGACAGATAATCGTGCAGACTCGATTTACTTGTGTGGCATTAAATGAATCAGACTGGACAAAGCAGTGAGTGCACAGATAGATGTCAATAGCCCTAAATTGTAAAAAAAACCCATTATTTAATCCTTTATAACTGTCTGTCTGGAGTCCGCGCACAATCAACATTTTTCCTGTGCAACTATAAAATTTTGTGTGAAATGGCTTCTGTCCAATTCCTTAACAGCACTATTTACTCGTGAGCTATGTGTGCAGGAGCGGTAAGGTGGATATATGTGCAGGCAAGAGAGGCGGGTGAAAGTAAAAGTGTGACGATACCATAAAACAAGACCCCGTTACCTTTTCCTCGCGTTCCTTCGTATCCATAAATGGATGTGGGTTTGTATGAAGTCAAGTGATGCAGAATTCCTTCCGTTTGTTGGGAACGTCTGAAACATTGCCAAGTCAAGCCAAGGCTGTCAAGGTTGCTGTTGCTGCGCTGGAGAGGAAGGCAGGCAGGCAGGGGTCCATCACAGGAAAGAGTCCACTTAATTCATCCGCCGCTCAAGTTTTCTCAAAGAAGAAGGGACCAACGACTTGGTCGACAATTCTTGTCTACTCCAAGTCTCAGCCGGGGGCATATTAATATTAAATAGCAAATAGCTACAACAGTTCCGGTGAAACTTGAACAAAAACATTTGACTGGAGAGAAAGCAGAGTAAATAATCACGTCATGAAAAATTCAGGAGGCATATCAGCAGCCCTGGCGCGGTCGTGGAATTACGTCCCATCTTACGTTGTATTGATGGTCTTGATTTCGAAATTCGAACGGATAAATAGCAGCAATACAGCAGCAGAGTGAGATTTACAAATTCTGTTTTTTTTCTTACTTTCTGGCTGCGTGTGTGTAGCGGAAGTAATTAGAACTTGACGGATTTGTTCGAAGAGGAAATATTTTCCAAAATATTTAATTTGATGAGATTTGCCATAAGCTGGTCGGGAAGGGCAGGGAGACAAAGGGTGCCGGCTGTATCAGGCTGTCTTTAGAGAAATGGTTGGTTATTAGTATTCACATCATGGTTCGTCATAATTTATGCATGAATCACTCACAAACTCGGTTGCTGATGCATTCAGTTTCAGTATGTATGTGTACGTACAGCTACTTGGAGATTGGAATGAATGGAGAAAGTTCTTGGTGAAGAAAGAGGTTGGTCCACAACTTTCACCACCATATTATTAAAGCAGAGTTACAAGGTTACATACATGCAACGGCCAGAGGAAATAAATCATACGTAATATTTTATGCGGAGTTTTCGATTGGATATGGAAAATGTTTAGCCGCTTGTCTTGAGCAAGTTTTAGGTGTGGGTGGGTGGGTGGGTGCAGCATGATAGGAAATTATTATACGTTAACATGTCAACTTTCTCCAACAGAACGATCTCATTGTCAATTCCAGCAAGGATGGATGGTTTTGGTGAAAGTTGCGGAGCACGACTGTGACGGTTCGGGTGACACTAATGTCATTAATCAATTAATTTACTGGCAATTTGCATCTTCCACATTCCGGGCGGAATTAACCAGTCTCAAATGATGTGGATGATGAGATTGACTCTGTACTTGGTTTTTGGCGAGGAGATGGAAAGTTTTTATCTCACAGCCACTCGTCACAAATTTTATGAAGGAAGAATGCGATTTTGCTCATATCCTGGTCTGACTAAAAGTTGAAAGTGAATGTTCATGTCAACGTCCGTCGTCATCTCCTGCACACACAGACACAAACAGAGTGTAGAAGTACGAGCAGTGAATAAAAAAGGAGGACGATTCTCGGTCTCGAGTAAATGTCAAATATCGAAAACAGCTTTTCCCCAGTAATCATACATAATCCATAATTCATGGGAATTGGAGTGCTCTTGTCCCTGTCACTTAAATGAACTTAACTGCTGAATTGGAAATGAGTGGGAAAGATGATGACACGACGACGACTCTTTACATGACAATATGAAAACCCAAAAATTATATCATGCTCTTCTTTCCTTGACGAACTAACCTCCATAAATTGAATTGTCTAACGTTGTATTTTACTGATGCAGCGTCCAACGAGGAGGTCCACTTGACGCCGGAAGGATCCCCCGAACTAACGGTTGGTTCAACAATGCAGTCCATACAGAAATGGAGCATTTTCACTAGCAAACTTTCCCTGTGAAATTACCGAACCGACATGATTGGTGAAAATGCTCCATACATTATTTCTAAAAGTTTGACAGCAGATTCGTGTTCATTATAAGTATTGATCTGCCACAAAATACCGTGCTACTCAAACTTTTGTCAAATATGAAATGCTGCTTATAAATATAATTAATATATGCAAACGTTATTATTTACTTAGAAGCGTTCCTGGTTCGGCAGTCTCATGGGTTCCGAGCGGGATGAAGCGTACACAATTCTAGTGAGAGGGAAACCTCTCGCCACCGTTAAGGCTGATCTTATCCATGCTTTCTTATCGGTACGAATGCTATTATCAAGTGTTATGTATACACACATCTCATTCCATAAAGGATGTCAACTGAATACCTCTTTTTCCTATTGTTGTCTATATATATAGATAGCAGAACTGAGTCATAGCGTTGCAAGTCCAATGTCATTCAAGGTTGAGTACAAGCGGGTGTCTTCAGGTCCAGCAATGTTCCAAATTCAACGCCAAGTTCGATTCCAAGTGGACATTTCCCCCGTGCCGAAGCCGACCGGGCATCCCTCAGCGCCCGACAGGGTAAACTTTTATATTTTTAAATTACATTTTAAATTAACTCTGGTATGCATGATAAGTTCTTATATTTTTTTATTAACATTTAATTGCCAGATCACGGCATAAGAGCTTATTGTAAAGTAATAATTAATTTAAACATATTTCTTGAACAGATATCTAGAACATCAGAATTCCTTTACGCCGTCACATTCGTCCTCCTGTCCGGAAATATACGTAGATTTCGCAGAATATGTGAGCATATTCAATCGCAAGTCTGTTCCAGACGACCACCACCTCCAAGTCCACGGGCAGCGAGGAAATTTGGTAATTCGGAACAATTGAGTGAAAGTTCGTCCTGTGGTTCGGACACGTCTGATCGACTTTCAATCTTTTCGAATAATACGATGAGTCGACAGGTAACTAACTACACACTCAGAAAAACTATTCTGACAAACGCATTGAAATCCATTCACCATTTGTATGAATTCTGATCTAATTTATAGACTGAGTCTGACAAAGAAAGTGATTTCCACGAGATCCGCGTCCAACCCAAAGACATTCGAGGAAGCATTTCTGAGAACTCGTCGACGTCTCTACTCCTCACGGATCTCAACTCTAAGCAGATCCTCCATCATAACAGCCATCATCATCAATCTGGAAATCGGGATCATTCCATTACTAGCTCACCCCATTCCCACCACCACTCCCACCACCGGGTCAACAGTGTGGGGAGTAAGCATCACCATAACGGAGGCTCGCAACCACCCCCACTGATCCCTCTTCCGTCTACTAATGGGGGGAAGAAAGAGTTCTGCTCGAGTCCCACCCCCACGACCACCACAACCACAACGATTCCGCAAACGAATGGTGTGGGCAGCAGTCTGATCTCTGCACCCAACCACAGTTCCACATCCAACAGCATCAAGCCCACCACAAATGGTACCATGGGTGGTTCAACTACTTCGTCCATAAGCAACTCAAACGCGAGCATGAGTTCAAGTTCGACTCACAACTCGAACAATTTGCAGTCAAACTCTCCACCCCCAATTCCCATGAAGAAGGAACAGATCGTCTGATGTCTCCTCAATGAATTCGGTTCAATTTTGGTTCAACTTTGAAATTTTATACATAGTGCCACCACCACGTTCAATTCATTATTTCTCAGATTTCTCTCCTACCCAAATGTGTACGTACTTGGCCAACTAAATCTGTTTTATCGTCTTACGTTCAATCTCGTTAACACAAAAAAGTATTATTATGAATGATCACTTATATCATCATTATAATAGCTACGGTAGGTATTTGATTAACCTTTGACTTGAACCTAGTGTTCCTTCAAATCACCATTAAATATTATCTACATCAGTATTCCTCCTCCTCCTGCTAATGATTGTAATTTTCAACTCGGACTTTACTTGTAACTTGCGTTTCACCTGTACAATGACATCCAATGAAATTAAGGACACGATGACGATTCATGATTGAGAGTTTAGCAACATGTGCCTGTGTATAAGTAAATTCGATGGGATTTCGGCTATAGCGTAGGTATAGCGTAAACTCTGCACTTAATTTATTTTGTGTAATTAATGACGAAGGGTGGGTTTCTTTCTGCTGCTGCTGCTGCTGCTAGTACTACGTAAATATATGTGGGTGCATTTGTGGGACTATTTATTCTTTATAGTTTGGAAAGTGTATTTATTGTTAAAAATAGTTCAATTAGGTAACACTTATAAGACTGTGAATTTGATGGGGCATGGACTCGTCAGATAATAATATTTATTCCTCTACTATGCATACTATTTTCAGGTAACAAGGTCCCAGGGCTGATATCCTTACACTACATTCCTCCATTAGGAAATTAGCTATATATTTATCGACTAACACGTTATTTTAACCGAAAAGTAGGGATGATGACGATTATTTATTTGAATGAATGCTGCACTTCTTGTCATATGCATTACAAAGAACGAAGGTTATTCTGTTGGGCAAATATCATTGAGTGCTTGCTACACATGTAATAAAATATTTATCAAGTTTATGGATTACTAATTGATCAGTTAAATATTGGGTTAACAATCAATATCACTTATTGCAAAGAATTAATTTGAGGAATTTGAGATAGAGTGGAATACTGATTCACCAATCCACCGATAATTTTAATAATGACATGATGACATAGCATGATGATATGTGACTCTCGGCCTTTTTTGAAAATGATGCCTAATTACTCTTCTCATTTAAGAAATATATACTAGACTCTGATCACCACTCACTCACCTTATCATCATTATCATCATCATCATCACCACTATTCATAATCAGTATGTGCATTAGTTAGTTAATAATTACGCAATAATTATTTTCCCTTATTTAAAACCCACTCCATCATATCGGTGAGAAGGGGCAGAGTATTATGTATTTTGTGAATTCACATGTGTTAGTTGACAAATTAATACCCACATCCCTCTTATCCTCGTCTTCTTCGTCTAAATCTGGTAAACTAAATGCAAATAAAATTTCCTGCCAAACTAATTAGTCGGTATTACCACGAAGGAAGGACTGAGGGGTTATCTATACAGTAGATGTTCACTACTAGCGTCTCTCCAAACCTCTACGTATACATTAGTGCAGTTTACTTACCAATTGAAAGACACTCTGTATGCAATCTCTCTCTCCCTTCTTCACACATACAGCGAAACAAATCTATGTAGCTAGAAAAAATTACAGAGCCAATTTTCTTGGTATAAAAATTCCATCAATCCATCCATTTTATCTACGACTATACTGTTAGGATATAGTCTTAACCTTCTTAGTCCGTAAAATTTGACGAGATTCTTTACGTGAAGCGTATTAATAATGTTGAGTGAGTGAAAGTACTGAGCAATTAAGTAGGAAGAATGAAATTCTGTGCTGGATCCTTAAAACGATAAATCAAGTACAATTATTATTAAATCAGGTATGTCATCAGTTCCCATCATCACTATCGCTAAGATTATCCTAAGTAAACAAGCAAATTACTTGCTCGCATTTTTCTGAATATTCTAGAAACAAAATTCACAATTAAATCCGGCTTGATTTTGAATACTTTCGAATTACCAGTTTTACAAAAACTAATTGATGAAACCCGATTAGTTAGGTAGGAAGAACTACAGCTCACTCAATAATATTAAACACTCCAACAACACAACTGGTTGTTATCAATTGTTGGATAACCCGTATTAACCAACTTAAAAATTCACACTATGTAGATCTGAGGGAAAGTTATCTCACAGTTGTTATACCTCCTCCTTAAAAGAAATCTTATTCGAATACATTGAGCAAATATCTGTAATCTCACATTAGTTAAAAAACTATGCTATGTAAAATGCAAAAATATGTCAAACCAGGACACAACGACGACAAGCTTTGTGACATTGGTGGTGGTGGTGTGTGGTATGGCGTGGCTGCATATTTATATACGGTGGTGATGAGTGGCTTTACTAAATTATGTATGACGTTGTAAGAGAGGGAGGAGATTTTTGTGGGATATGATGAGGGCTATATATTCTTTCATATACATACACCTTTAGTTTTACTACAAGGATTGATAACTGAGGAGTTTGTGCGGGCAAATGTGCGATCCGTAACAATGTACAATGCTAATTTTAAGGTTAATAATCACTAACATGTACTATCTATCCATGTCGACACACTGGAGAAAGCTGGCAAATTCACGTGCAAAAAAAACGTTGTTGGGAGCGGTACGCAAATACACGCCGAGGTTGCCTGGTCGTTAATTGCTTAATAAGAAATGCTACTGTTAATCATAAGCCATTGTATAAGAGTCTAGTACATATATTACATAGGGATTTAAAAATGCTGGTGTATGTATGTCCATCTGGGTGGTCCTACTACTGGTCGACTGCAAATAAAACTATGAATTTTTAGCCACACGACACGGATACTAATTACCCGTGTTGTTACTCGGTCAAAAGATTCCAATCAAAATATGCGGTATTAACTTTCCTGAACATGCAATGGTGGTGGTGTTGTTTCGTACTCCGCACTATTATTATTGTCGATGGTGATGTATTTAGTGTGTAGCAGATGAAATGTGAATAATGATGCACTCGTTTAAAAAGATATTTCTACCTGCTGCTGCGACTACCAGAGTGGACACATAAAAATTCACCATCAGCAGGTCGCAGCCAGACCTGTCGATAACGTCAACATTTTAGCATTAGTTTACATTTGAGCGGAGGATATAGAGTACGGTAATCATAGCCTATTACTTAATGCGACTGTCACTAGGTTAAATATATTTATGACCGACTACTACTAACTCGAACTATGGATGCTAATAAACCATAGCACGTCTGAAATACAGAACTTGGAGAGATATTTGTCATTATTTTTCACCATTTTCATTCATATGCATAATTTATTGTGAGGCCTAAAAGCAGCCCTTTTTACTTGGACCAAAACCGTCGTTCAACCAATTCGTGACTGAAACTGACAGATTAACCATCAGTCCACAAAACAATCCTCTTCTCTTAAAAAACCAAATATACGTGATATTTATATTCACAAAAACACCATGTGCATCGTTCCCATGGTTTTTGAACTTCGCTTGCTTTGGACTCGTGAACAGGACGCGTACACAATTTTGTATGAAATGTAAACTCTGTATACAACTGATATTGGTATTGTTAAGACATGCGTGGACTGTTACCCTCTCCGAATCGGGTTGTTCGCATGCCCGAACAGTGTACCCACTGGCTCCGATCCGGGTAACAAGAAACCAGATCGACCCCTCTAAACGGAGAGCCCCCACATCTCTCACCACACGACGTACATGACGCAGGAGATAAATTGCAAGGTTATAAAAAGAATCTAATTTCATAAATTTATCCAATCTCCACTATTTTTAGGCCATTAATTATCATTTTGTCTTTCAAGATTTCTTCAAATGTGCAAAAACGGGGCAATTGTGACCACATAGTACGCACCCGACCCTCCTTTCAACACACATTGTACAGGATTGCGAGTCAACAATAACTTTGCGTTCTTGTATGTATGACGCCACCCCCAACAACATAGGGAATGAGATTTGCGTCATAAAAGTGGTCCAATTTTTAGTACCTCGGTCCTCCCAGCAGACACAGAGAATTATTCTCCCTCTCGTTCTGCATGGTCTCGCCAATAAATAACAACCTCATTCGAGATGAAATAAAATGATATCTAATACCCTCTCCTGTGTGCACTAAGTAAATGCCAAAATAATAAGCGTCACCTACCCGACTTGCATACTCTATCTATGACATTACTCCTTTATCTCGCTCTCTATTCATTTCTCGAATTTCCGCTAATTGCATTCAACTCGACTTGTTCAAATTTATCTCGAGACCCAGACATGAGGAATTATTTCAGAGTCATCAAAATGAGAATAACACAAATGAACGTATGTATTAATGTCATTCTACTCCTTGTTTTAAATAACATATTCGTCACCATTTCTTCATGAAACCTTTCAACAACAAGGCATCCGTTCACTCGTTCGTTCGTTATGCAGTAAACTCGATCGTCTCCAGTTGTCCTCTATTTCATTTGACACTCTATTTTCTTAGATTTTAACCCTCCCAAAAGCAGCCCATAAAGCACTCCATCCAGCCTGCTTTCCCTTCACGTCTAAAACTAAACTAATGCATATTAATAAAAATAATACCGAGTTAAATGAGTCATAATGGGATAAGGCTTTAGAGCAGGAACTCAATATTGTGAGACTATGCACTAAAGATTTATACGGCTTGAGAGCTTGTGCATACAACATTCCTTCTTCTTCTTCTCCCATTACATGATGGCTTGCATTGGCTCATTCATATATTATTTTCCTTTGCTCGCTCCTATTAAGCAGCAACCCTCCCACCATCTCCCTACTTGGGCTGTAATGGAACTGCGAGGATATAAAGTGGTGATGATGATGATGTGATGACGAAGTAAGTTGGTAACGCCACATATTTACAAAGCCTGCATGTTGTACATACACAAGTTGGTATACTCTAGTGCATTTACGTTTAACACACCTCTTTCTCTTAGACCATATTAGAGCAATATGGTGAATGTATAATGCAATGGTGTGGTTTTTAGCCCTTTTGAAATCGTACCACCTTCCTCTTCTTTATTACTTCTGGGGATGAGTGACACAATTCATCTGCTGGTCCCATAACAGCCGCAGCCGAGTCGTAAGGTGAGTAAAAAGTAAAAAGTTAGCACACATTGAACGACGACTGTTCTGCTTAGTGTTAAAAAGAGATTGAATCCCCCACAACAAACAACACTGCTCGCATCCACAGCGTAAAGAGAGAGAGCGAGAAGGAGTAAGTAAGTTACGTACTTGTATCTCTAGACCCTCTGGCCGACATTTTCCGACTTTTCCAAACAGGAGGGATTCGATACTTAATCGGATCCCAGGCAGTTTGAGTGTGTAAGAGAGGGGGGATTCCTCAAATTATTTAGTACCATTGTATCAAACTAACTAACATTTTTTGGTGGAAGTGTTCCTTCCTTCCGACCAGTCGTGTGGGGCGGCGGAGGAGAAAATTTGGCAATTTTTGACCACAGCCAAGCTTAACGAGACCAGCGGTTCGCTGGTTAGTTAGATGACGCCCTACGAATAGAACGCACGCTGGAGTGGAGATAACAATGAAACAACTAGTCATGATCATCTTCTTCTTGTGTTGATGTTGTGATTCTTTTAATAATACGGATACAAGTGAAAGCAACAGAGAGAGAGAGAGTAATAGGCTTATCTGCACCGAGCAATAAAAATGGTTTTAAAAATAGTATAATACAATTTGACTTGAATCGTCGTGATAGTTGCAACAGTTTGGAGGTGGAGTCACATGGACACCTAATTTTAAAGTGGTGACATGTAATTGGTGGGTTGTCACGATAGAAAGGTGACGGCAAGTTGTGGACACTACTATTAGTAATTTCTTGAGATTCTATCAAAAAGAGGAGAATTAGAAATGACAGAGATTTAATAACTGACAACAACCTTTGGGAATTTAGTGGTGGTGGGATAAGGTTTTATCTTCTTGACGACTCTTTATTCTAGTCCTTGTTGGTGGGTGTGAGTGGAAGTAGTCCTTCGTAAATAATCTGGAGAAGTACGAAGTTAAGCGATGGAGCACTATTAAATGGAATAATAATTTGAAGTTATGTGTAAGAGATTCATTGTAAAATCCTTAATTAATTGTACTACTGATCAGCTGGAACAAAAAGGAGTTCATTTTTGGGTAAGGATAGTAGGTATTTGTAGAATTTTTAAAATTTGGATGAAAATTTAACAGAATTTGATATAATTTGAATTTAGAATTTTAATGAGATTAACATTCAAAACGTAAAAATAATATGTTTACTATTGGCTACTACTGGAATTCTCCACTTGTGGTCTAATAATAAATGTTGAAATTTGTTTTATCAGAAACTTTAATGCACTTCCGGCCAAAAATTTCCAAAAAGCACATAATGCTATACATTGAATACTTGCCATAAGTTTGATAGAATTATTTGTTTTGTTGCAGTGACATCGATCTCTCCTGCATAAGCCTTCTCCATCACCTTGGCCGTGGTGTAGTAGCGCACAATTTTCTTGCCAACTCCTTCCCTCACAGGATGGAGAGGTCTGAAGTGAATAAAGACCATTCTCAGCAGCAGCAGCAGTTGGTGCAGGAATTAAAACAAGAGGAAGACCACGACCACGACCATAACTCTGCCAACACGACGACCACTATAATTTGTGAGTGCGACGGCTCTGGGAATTTGCAGCAAGTCGATAACTCTTGTCAACCCGTCTCTGTATCGCTCCAAGATCAAAACTTGGATAATCAGCAGACAGAAATTAGAATAAAAGTGGACGTCGACGACACCACCTCCGTGGAGGACCATCTTGCTCAACTTGGTCATACCAACGTCACAACTGCGAGTATAATCACCATTCCCGTCGTACCATATACCGTTATTGGGGACGCGGATGGGGTAAGTGGTTATTTAGAGGTACTATCAGCTTCTGTTTGAAGAGCGTGAATTGTTTAATAATGTGGGAATTTTTTTTTGCTAAAATCAGAACGGTCAATCAATCTCAGTCTCTCTGGCAAATCCTGAAGCATTGACGCACCATCAGTTACAAACTCATCAAATCCAACAGGCCCACCTACAACAGCACCATCATCACCACACCTCCCAATCGCAACAGCTGCACCAAGTGACAGTGAAGACAGAACCTGGGCTGCCCCAGCCACCTCTGCAAAACTCCAAACACCAAAACCCAATCACGCATCTCACGTGGGAAGAGGCAGTCAACGCTGCTGTGCTCCCCATCCGGTGTAAAGATACTAACGCAGAGTTGTACAAAGCCAAGTTCGGGTCAGGAAACAAGGGCAAGTGTATCAAGTCGGGAGATCAGTGGTTTACGCCCACAGAGTTTGAAGCGCTGTGTGGGAGGGGGAATAGTAAAGACTGGAAGCGATCTATTCGCTTTGGGGGAAGGACGTTACAAACTTTGATAGACAAAGGATACCTAGTACCGCACGCATCGAGTTGTATTTGTAGCAATTGTGTGGACGACTCGTCCGCGGTAAGCGCTGGTTTTGTTCTGCAAGTTGATTGAACATGTATTTTTGACAAAGTCAATGAGCACGTGGAGGCTAATTTTCGTAACTTTTTTGTGTGTAGACTGGACCTATCCGACCATTTACCCCATACCAAAGAAAAAGAAAGAATCAACAGGGCGACTCATCCAAGTCAAAGTTGGAGAGGTTACAATCCAAGGATTCTAATACTGACGAGTCGTCTGACGTGGGGACTCCTATAACGCCTTGTGGGATAACGCCAAGTATGAACCCTCTGACTCAAGCGTTAATGAAGATGAATCAAGCGTCTCCACCCACAACGGAGGAGGCATGGAGAAATCTAGAAGACGTGAGTAGTTAATGCCACTAACAACGGAGGTCTCCCAACGTATGCTCACAAATTTCGACCAAATTAGTGCCAATTGATCACAAATTTAATTAATATGAAATTTTCATCGGATGGAAATATCTCCGCCTAACCTGAGCATTGACAGATAGTGTCTTTTGAAAATTTCACATTAATTAAATTGGTGATCGATTGACACAATTTTGATCAAAATCGGAGAGCATACGTTGGGAGACCTCCATTGTAAGTATTGGATAAATTATCATCATGTATATTTAATCTTTCCGTCGTTAACTGCAGATGGTAGAAAAAATAGCGCAAGCCGCTCTCTTAATGAAGCAAATGGTGAAGGACATGAAAGAGCGGACCCACCAGGAAACGGAATCCCTCAGATCTCAGTTGCAAGAACAACAGGAAATGCAAAATCTGCAAAACCTCGCCAATTCGCAACAAGCACAGCAGCAGCAACAAACACAAATTACTGTGGATGGGATAACCCGAAATTTAATAGAGTCCCCCCAAATCCTCAGAATATTCGACTCAAATCGTATTCAAACATACTCCATAGAGGTGCTGGATCCAGAAACATTTAAAACACTATCAGCATCAAAGAATTTACAGGAAATACATTAAGAAAGGGTGTGCCATTTAAAATCATACTATTGTGGAGCGCGTGTAATCACAAGTGAGAGCTACCAATTGGTTTTAAAATTGGATTTTATATGTATGTATACATATTACATGTATACATGACAAATGTATTCATTTGTTAACAAAGTTCAATATTTCCTCCTCTAATTGAAGGTCGAATTTTTCAAACAGTTGATTTACTTTCTTTGAACAGGCTCTGGGCCTGAGGCCCAACTCCAAGCCGCTCAACCAACTTTACACTAAATTTGTGCAAAGGTTTGAAGTCGAATCCATGTTTATTGCAAGAAACGTACTTTAGCAAACAAATTTAGAACCACATCGTGATTACCAATCAGCAGCACCACTTGACTTAGTGCTTCGACAAATCCCACAAGCAAAGAAAAAAAAACCAAGCACATAACAACCACCCATATTTTCAAAATCAACACTACTACTAGTGCTCTGTTCTGTTGCGCTGCTGCTAGACTGCTTCGAGAGTCCAGAATATTTTCTCCAGCGGTGAGGTGACAAAAAGAACCGATTTTACAAACTTAAACATTTAGTGAACAATTAATAGTTAAGTAGAAACTTACAACATCTTCAACTTATACTTGTATTACGTACTACTACTACTACAGTTACAACTACTTACATATACGGCCACAAACCTCTAATAATAATAATAAAGATAAGTCAACCAGCAAAAGTATTGGTGGAGTGTGGGAGGAGAACGATCAAGTGCTCCACATAATAATTAATTAATGCGGACAAGAAAAATTGTGCGTTAACTTCTCGTCTCCTGTCAATAAGCTATACTTCTTCTACTACTACCATTACTAATTGCTGGTACAGCCTTCCGACATCGAAATTCTCACCACCCTTTTGTCCCTTCACTAAAAAGATGGAGTATTTATATCGAATGACTAATAACTAAGATAAGCTGAGTTATGCTACAAAGCTCCTACGGTAACATCCGGAATGTCATTATTATACAAGTACATATGTATTTACCCACAAGTGCGTGTGTTTGTATGCACATCTACTTCAAGGATAGCTTTTTGTGGCATACACGACTCGTTCGTTAGTTCGTTCTTTTGTAGCAGTGAAAGCAGTGGTGAAAGTGTTTTTGTACTTCCATTTGTTTCATAACATGTTACAAACTCAGTTAACAGGAAAAATTGAACTGATTATCTAAGTTATAAACTATTATTCTTATTATTGGTGACACAAAAATAAAATATCTCACACAGAAACTCCAACTTTACACGGACAGAGTTTCGTACGTATATTCTTCATGATTTGTCCGTCTGTCTGTCCCTTTCCTCTATTTGAAATCAACAAAGTAACAATTTGTATAAAAAGTGCTGAGTCAAGTCAAGTGTAGTCCGTAGGAGTAAGTAATGCTGTATAATGTCGTACCGTGTAATTTAAGTGCACATTATGTAGCATAACAATATTTGCATGATATGATGTGATTCTGATGATTCTTGTAGTTTTCATAGTTCGGCTTTAACTGCAAGCATTATTTGATAATAATGCACATGATTTCGACATAATCCATAGAATTTGTATAACTACCCGTTGTCTGCCACTACCACTACAACTACAATTACTCGTACATACTTATATATGTATATCGCTGATGATTCATTAATGTATTGGTTAGTTCTAAGTCAGGCCACTTCAGTGTTACTATTATTTAATATTTATATCCATAAAGAAAAACAGAAGACGACAAATCGATTGGCAACTCGACATATTCACAAACTTCTCAACACGATGTTGTTTTCAAAATTTGACAATGCCAAGAAACTGAATTTAAGTACTTAAATCTTTACCTTTATGTATCATCAGTTAGCATGTATGAACATCAACTCGTCTGCGTTATGTTAGCATATATTACTTTTACCCTTTGCAGCAGCGTTCATGTACACCCGATTGCATATTACTAAAATTGATGAAATTATTATTATTGTGACCACTACTACAACAATTTTTTGTTTAGTGTATTGTATATTACCTGTGAATATTATTTTGTAGTTCTACTAAAGCAAATCCCCAAAAGCGTTTATGTTTGCTATTGCCACGAACAACTCAACAACAATTATTTCCCCATGTCTTACACTGTCTTTATGTTTGTTTTAATTCTTACGAGATATTATTGCTGAAAAAGGGGTCATGGCTTCGTTAGGTTGTTATCTTATTGACATAAGCTGTTAAGCTACATATATTGGGTGGCGACGTTATAAAACTAATTTTGTTAAATGGACGGTATAAAACAATGTATACCTACTGTTATACTCACCGGATAAATCAATGCTATTTTTATTTCCCGTACAATAAGGCATGTGCCACCGTGTATTTTTCGTCATTTGTATAGCTCAGTAATACCACCACACCCCCAGCAGAAGCAGTGCAACGCTACTCCAAACGAAATCCAGGACCCCAAATGCCCTTCTCTTATTTGACTATCACGTACTTTCATTCACTTAATTGTTGTCTCTTCATCAGTATATGTGTTTTTGCTACTAATCAGTCAGTCATCGCGAAAGAGGGAGAATCATCAAGACGACTCCGTATTTTGTAAATAGTCAACTTTATTAAGCGATTAAAGTCTATTCATTGAAAAGTCTCAACAAGATTTGCCTTAGGTGGCAAAAAAATGGCAATACTTTTTTCCGGATGCATGAGAACATGACTCGTTTTTGACTAGTGCACAGTGCAATGAATGAATGACACCGAGACAATTACATTGCTTATCTGTGTTGTATTATTACGAACAAATTAATTTCAGAGTTTTTTTTAATTTTTGCAAACCTTCCAATCCTTTTTTTATAAAAAATATTTATTCCCTATTTTAGGCTTCAAGAGCAATTAAAAATTTCAATTAGTCGATACTAATTTATTGTTGGTGAAAGTAAAAATAATTGACGGCTTAATAATAATTGTTTGTGCGATAGTGAGTAAATTCACACACTTCTAACCTAGCATATATTTACTACAAACTTGCCAGTAAGTCAAACACAGTATGTTTCATTATGTGGAAGGATATATGTATGTACATACATAGATCAGAATGAGATAGATGAGAATTTTACAAAATTATTCAAGAGCTGTCAACTAGAATGTGTTGAATAATAATAAAAACGATGAATGATTTTCAATTTTTGATTAGAAAACATTTTACACTTTGACTTTATTCCGAGTTTATAGCAAGTCGAATTGTCCATTATAATACATAGATATGCCAAAAACAGGAGTATATAAGCGTCGTCTATCTCTGTGCTAAAAACAACAATAAATTACAAACTTAGATACGAAAAAATCATGATGTCCTCCAATTTTCTTGCACATGTATGTAAAGTCACAGCACATCACATGTCATCATAAATGTCGATAATACTTGTACATTTAATCTCGTCATCAGGCGCTAATAGTGGTAACCTATCCTGCACATACTAGCCTGCGTTACCAAGTTTACGGACAGCGCCTCATCGTGACGCCCTCACGATCCTTTGACTGGAATACTTGGGATGGTCATGATTCATCGGCGGCCTTGGCTGCATAATGCGCGTGAATGCGAAGCGACTCGCATCCTAACCAATTAGCCATTCAATCCAGATACTCTTCTCTAAATCTAATTGTAAAAGTAGAATTCTCGGAATCAGTGGCGGCGGAAGCTGGGGAGACATATGGGGACATAAACATTGTGAGATAGGAAGAGGAGGGGCTTATTAACTTTGGCAAGATAGCATTTTCATGTATTTCTGGAGGGGGGGCAATGTCCACCTGCTTCCGCCGCCACTGCTCGGAATACATGGTTGTTGGTATAAAGCAATTTATCACAAGCTTTCGATGCTATTGCGGTGCCAGCCAGCCGGATGGATTCGATTTGAATTTCAGCCAATGTTAAGAAAGCATTCATACTGAAAAACTCTCACAACTAAAAGACAGACCACGGTCGCGAGCTTCTTTGCCGAGCGATTTTTTTTCTATGGCGTTGGGCCACAGTGCGAAATCTTAATGAGAAGGTTTTGCTAAAATTCTACGGACGCTTTTCTGAACATGTTTTACCATATTCTGAACCACTTTTTCAATTCAGACACATTTTGGATTGAGCCACGTTTTCCATTCAACCACTTTTTCAATTGAGCCACTTTTAAGATTAGCAGGGGCCATAAGATTGGCAGGGGCCATAAGATTAGCAGGGGCCATAAGATTAGCATGGGCCATAAGATTAGCATGGGCCACACGATTAGCAGGGGTCATAATATTAGCATGGGCAATAAGATTAGCAGGGGCCATAAGCTTAGCATGGGCCATAAGATTAGCAGGGGCCATAAGATTAGCATGGGCCATAAGATTAGCATAGGCCATAAGATTAGCAGGGGCCGTCAGATTAGCAGGGGCCATAATATTAGCATGGGCCATAAGAATTAGCGTGGGCCATAAGAATTAGCATGGGCCATAAGAATTAGCGTGGGCCATAAGAATTAGCATGAGCCATAAGAATTAGCGTGGGCCATAAGAATTAGCGTGGGCCATAAGAATTAGCGTGGGCCATAAGAATTAGCATGGGCCATAAGAATTAGCGTGGGCCATAAGAATTAGCGCGGGACATAAGAATTAGCATGGGCCATAAGAAATAGCATGGGCCATAAGAATTAGCGTGGGCCATAAGAATTAGCATGGGCCATAAGAATTAGCGTGGGCCATAAGAATTAGCATGGGCCATAAGAATTAGCGCGGGACATAAGAATTAGCATGGGCCATAAGAATTAGCGTGGGGCCCATAAGAATTAGCATGGGCCATAAGAATTAGCGTGGGCCATAAGAATTAGCATGGGCCATAAGAATTAGCGTGGGCCATAAGAATTAGCATGGGCCATAAGAATTAGCGTGGGCCATAAGAATTAGCATGGGCCATAAGAATTAGCGTGGGCCATAAGAATTAGCGTGGGCCATAAGAATTAGCATGGGCCATAAGAATTAGCGCGGGACATAAGAATTAGCATGGGCCATAAGAATTAGCATTGGCGATAAGAATTAGCGTGGGCCATAAGAATTAGCGTGGCGTGTAGACCCCAACATGTGTTTGGGGTCTACAGGACCCCAACATTTGTTGGGGGTCTACAGGACCCCAACATTTGTTGGGGGTCTACAGGACCCCAACATTTGTTGGGGGTCTAGAGGACCCCAACATTTGTTGGGGTCTATAGGACCCCAACATTTGTTGGGGGTCTACAGGACCCCAACATTTGTTGGGGGTCTATAGGACCCCAACATGTGTTGGGGGTCTATAGGACCCCAACATTTGTTGGGGGTCTATCAGACCCCAACATTTATTGGATATCTATAGGACCCCAACATTTGTTGGGGGTCGATCAGACCCCAACATTTATTGGATATCTATAGGACCCCAACATTTGTTGGGGGTCTATCAGACCCCAACATTTATTGGATATCTATAGGACCCCAACATTTGTTGGGGGTCTATCAGACCCCAACATTTGTTGGGGGTCTATCAGACCCCAACATTTGTTGGGGGTTTATCAGACCCCAACATTTGTTGGGGGTCTATCAGACCCCAACATTTGTTGGGGGTCTTTCAGACCCCAACATTTGTTGGAGGTCTATCAGACCCCAACATTTGTTGGGGGTCTATCAGACCCCAACATTTGTTGGGGGTCTATCAGACCCCAACATTTGTTGGGGGTCTATCAGACCCCAACATTTGTTGGGGGTCTATCAGACCCCAACATTTGTTGGGGGTCTATCAGAACCCAACATTTGTTGGGGGTCTATCAGACCCCAACATTTGTTGGGGGTCTATCAGACCCCAACATTTGTTGGGGGTCTATCAGAACCCAACATTTGTTGGGGGTCTATCAGACCCCAACATTTGTTGGGGGTCTAAAAGACCCCAACATTTGTTGGGGGTCTATCAGACCCCAACATTTGTTGGGGGTTTATCAGACCCCAACATTTGTTGGGGGTCTATCAGACCCCAACATTTGTTGGGGGTCTATCAGACCCCAACATTTGTTGGGGGCTACAGGACCCCAACATTTGTTGGGGGTCTATCAGACCCCAACATTTGTTGGGGGTCTATCAGACCCCAACATTTGTTGGGGGTCTATCAGACCCCAACATTTGTTGGTGGTCTATCAGACCCCAACATTTGTTGGGGGTCTATCAGACCCCAACATTTGTTGGTGGTCTATCAGACCCCAACATTTGTTGGGGGTCTATCAGACCCCAACATTTGTTGGGGTCTTTCAGACCCCAACATTTGTTGGAGGTTTATCAGACCCCAACATTTGTTGGTGGTCTATCAGACCCCAACATTTGTTGGGGGTCTATCAGACCCCAACATTTGTTGGAGGTCTATCAGACCCCAACATTTGTTGGGGGTCTATCAGACCCCAACATTTGTTGGTGGTCTATCAGACCCCAACATTTGTTGGGGGTCTATCAGACCCCAACATTTGTTGGGGGTCTATCAGACCCCAACATTTGTTGGGGGGCTATCAGACCCCAACATTTGTTGGGGGTCTATCAGACCCCAACATTTGTTGGGCGGCTATCAGACCCCAAGATATGTTGGGGGTCTATCAGACCCCAACATTTGTTGGGGGGCTATCAGACCCCAACATTTGTTGGGGGTCTATCAGACCCCAACATTTGTTGGGGGGCTATCAGACCCCAACATTTGTTGGGGGGCTATCAGACCCCAACATTTGTTGGGGGTCTATCAGACCCCAACACTTGTTGGGGGTCTATCAGACCCCAACATTTGTTGGGGGGCTATCAGACCCCAACATTTGTTGGGGGTCTATCAGACCCTAACATTTGTTGGGGGTCTATTAGACCCCGACATCTGTTGGGGGTCTATAACCCCAACATTTGTTGGGGGTGTACAGGACCCCAACATTTGTTAGGGGTCTATAGGACCCCCATATTTGTTGGGGGTCTACAGGACCCCAACATTTGTTGGGGGTCTACAGGACCCCAACATTTGTTGGGGGTCTACAGGACCCCAACATTTGTTGGGGGTCTACAGGACTCCAACATTTGTTGGGGGTCTACAGGACCCCAACATTTGTTGGGGGTCTACAGGACCCCAACATTTGTTGGGGGTCTACAGGACTCCAACATATGTTGGGGGTCTACAGGACCCCAACATTTGTTGGGGGTCTACAGGACCCCAACATTTGTTGGGGGTCTATAGGACCCCAACATTTGTTGGGGGTCTACAGGACCCCAACATATGTTGGGGGTCTATCAGACCCCAACCCGAGCTGCCAGTCATGCGTTGATTAGGCACTGGCGACCGTTGGCACCGAAAAGTCGACGAAATTGAACAAGATCATGCAATGATACGATGCTGGTTGCACGTAACGAATGAACGAAGAGAAATCTCCGCTCAACGAAATTCTGCTACCTGGCCAGTAACTTTCATGAGTACCGAAATGGTAACGAAATGAAAACGTTCCCTCAATACCATTTATATAGTGTAGTTTTTTACCGTAATTTAAATGCGAAATAATTCTACTCACTGCACAAAACAAAAACATCTAAATTGAAGAATCAAAACTATTTATTGTTTATGTCAACAAAAACATATACTTATGTAATGCTTATACATATACGCATAAATAGACATAATTATATAAATACACATAATTACATAAATACTTATGCATATCTTTCATAAATTTACTACTTATAAATAATTAATAACAATATTACTACCTTCGATTAGTTTCATACGAATTGCACAAGGATATGTAAAAATATTTTTGCCACAAGGAAGTAAAATACACTTCTTTGAGAGATTTTCGGGGTCTAATTTCCGCAAAGTTCCCAAATTTCGTACAAAACCCATTCCTAAACCTTTGCATTGAACGGGGTATGACTTTGGCTGTATTTCGTCACCAAAAACTCGACACATAAGTTGGTTTCGGTATTTTTCAACGACACAAACTTGTCCTGTTTTTGTGATAAAGCAATTGTCGCCTAATTTGGCTGAAGGGGTCAACGATGAATTTTCTACATGTTTTGAAAGACTTGTTGAAATTGCATTTATTTCCGAAAGCCTTCTAACCATTTGACTGAAGGGGGAATTTTTAGAGCGCAAGAGACGTTTTATCACTTGCATGAAGTTTTCGAACGGGAAAGCACTAAAATCATCGAGTGGCCCATGAAGTAGTACATCCCCTGCTAAATGAGTTAAAGAGTGGACATTGAATACCAAAAACTCTTTACAATATAAGAGTGGGATTTTTTCAACAAACTCATCAATTAAGCTACCCGAC